GCAGGGAGGGCAGCTACCAGGCAGGAGTGTCACAGAAGGTCCGTCCGAGACAGCTCAGTTGCTCTGATGTGGGAGATCCTGGAGGGCCAGGGCAACTCCCTCCCCGCCCACGACCCACTGCCCACTCTTCGAGGAGGCGGGGGCCAGCTGAGGGTGCCAGGGGTCCTGTCAGAGCCTTCTTACCCAGTTTACTACATCTAATCATGGGTTGTTAGTGATACAACGAGAGCCATGCCGATTATGAGAAGAAGAGAGGGGCTCTGTCCCTCTCCGCTCCCTTCATCTGAACAGGACACCAAGGGGCCGTAAACTCCATGACTAAGAGAAACACTGTGGCTCCTGGGCTTAAGGTTCTAGACTATCTGAACCATAGATCTGCTGGGGGGGCATCAGGTGGTCCTTTAGCCAACCTCACACATCCCGCTCATGTTTATTTTCTGGCTTCCCCTTCCTGGGTGTGCCTGTTCTTTCTCCCTACCCCTTTCCTTTTTATCTCGCTAGAAATAGGAACCCTCAGAATTGCCCCAACAACAAAGTGCCCTGCAAGTCTTCCTTGGGGTTGTCTGAGAGGCCAGCTGTGGACCAAGACTCTGTTTGGACTCATGGGCTGCTTCCTCTAGGCTTGAAAAATAAAATTCCTCCACCCTCCCTGGACTCCTCTTATAATACCCAGAGGCATACCCTCTGACCAAGCACCTGTTGTGAGTTCTGGGACAGTGGCCCTACTGGTCTGTGCTTGGAGATCAGCATTCAATCTTAGGGCAGATTTATACAAGATTCTAGAAAAGCGAAGATTAACCTCTAGGGATGGGAAGCAGATCACTGGTTGCCTGGGGCTGAGGTGGGGGTAGATAGTGGGGAATGACTGTAAGAGACTAGAGAAAAATTTTGAGGTGATGGGAATGTTCTAGATTTTGATTATCGTGGTGATTACAGGGTATATACATTTGTCAGAGCTCATTTAACTGTGTACTTACTAATAATGCATTGTTAATACACACGCACACACTCACACAAATCTTAGAACAGATTGGTTACAAATACTCGTGTCTGGTCATGGTTAGGCAGGCACTGGTGTGCTTGCTTCTGAGGACTCCTGTTCAGCCTCAACAAAGAATACATAGACTGTGCGAATTCATGGGAGACTCAAAATTAAGTTATACTGCACAAAAAAGGATGAACTCACGGTGGATGTTCCCAGTGAAGAGGGCAGCCCTCTAGGGCTTGGGCTGCTCTGAGCAGAAAGGGGCTCACCCTGGGGACGAGTGCTCACTTGCTCTTGGTTGGCCCAGATATAAACTAGAAGGAGCAATCACGAGGGAAAGTGGGGTCCTGCTAGCAAATAGGTAATGAAACGACAAAGTCTAGATGGGAAGCTGATCTTGTCTTTACTCAACATGTTGATGTTTTTTTCCTTGTAGACTTTTGGCACTAATGTTGATTTTTAGCATATACATTAAAATATGACTTGTCTTAATTATTCGGGCACCTTCTTAAATTGTGCAGCCTGGGAGAGTGACTTGCTTGTTAAACCTTCCTGCAGCCCTGAGGAAAAAACAAGAAGAAGAGGTCATTTGGCCAGAGGACTGAGATCAACCTTCTGCAGGCCTGGAGTGGGGAAAGGCATGGCTAGGACCGCTGCCTGGAGAGACCCAGGACCACAGGGGAAGTCTGAATGGGGTTGGAGAGACCAGCCTGGAGCTGGAGCTGGGAAGACTGCTGGACTTCGGGGGGAGGGGATTATAGACTCTGGGAGGGCTAGGTGCCCCTGGCCCAGGGGTGACACCCTGCAACTCACTCCTTCAAGGATGGGCTCAGTGTGTCCTCTCTGACCTGCCAAGCCTCTGAGTATGTGGTCTGGGCCCCAGCTGTTCTCAGGCCTGGAGGGAAGCCCTTCTGTGGTGCCCAGAGTAATGGAGAAGCTCAGAAGTGGAGGGACAAAAAGGGAAAGGAAACTTGGGGGCCCCAAGGGGAGAGGTGGGGGGTAATTCAGGATGAGGCTTGGGAAGGAGGAGCATGGGCTGACTTGGGAATGAAGGAGAAGACCACAAGGCAGAGAACAGAGGGGCTCAGAGTTCTGTTTCCCAGGCTGGAGCCCCAGGAAGGCACTCCCAAGGCAGTGTGTGGTGGCGGCTGGGGCAGCCATGGAAACAGAGCTGGGAGTTTAAGCTCAGAACAACAGTGCGGTTTCCTCACTCCTGACTCTCTCGGCCTGTGCTTGTTTGCATGGATGACAGGGTTTTTGTGTTAAGTTCCCTCACCCCACATAGAAATGACCCAGGTAGAAAATGATCAGGGTATGTATGGCCTAAGAGTTGACCCGGGGTTCCCCTTGGGGGTAAAATGTGGATCCCAGGTACTGCGTTAGTCTCTGGGTGAGGAGTAGCCAAGGGTGGGCCAGACAGGCATCCTCCTAGAAAGTAATGAGGGAGCTGGAGGACAAAGGGCAGGGACCAAGGCCACACGAGGGAGGCAAAGGGAAGTTGGTAGCCAGAGGCAGTCAGGAGGGGGCCACTGCAAGGTCTGGTACTGAGCAGTCAATGCTTATGGAACCAAACTGCCATGGGCAGGGATTCCATAGGGGTCAGATGACTTGGTCAGCAAGGACCCTGGGTCAGGTCAACTTGCATCCCTGATGGGAAGCCAAGGAAAAGAGCAAGAAATATAACCAACATTCCTTCAGAGCCCACCCAGTGCCCAGTGCCAGCTGCACTCTCTGGTTTGATGTGCTGTCCCCATGTTCCAGATGGCAAACCTGGAAGACTTCCAAGTTCACACTGCCGGTCTTCCCCTCAGAGTTGGGTCTTCATTCTCCCTGACTGGCCCAGAACCCCAAACCTGAACTCCTTCCCAGATTGGTGGAGCCTTCAGGGAAGGAGGTTGAGGGTAACCCTCGGAGGCCAGTGGCCTGCCTGGGAATGGAGTGGGAGCCCTTAATGGCAGCCCTGTAGCTCCCTGGTGACCAGAGAGGGGGCTGGGCACCTTTCTAAGAGAGAGGGAAGAGGAAGAGCTGAGAACATATGCTGGCCTCTCCTCAGGACTGGATGACTAGGGGGGAAGGGTCCCTCTTCCATTGGGGGCTGGTGGAGGGCCAGGAAGGTAATGCTGCCTGTACCTGAGTTCTGTTCTCTTGGAGAGTCAGGGAAGTGGCATCCCAAAGCCACCCAAGATTAGAGACCCCCAGGGTCTCTGCCCGAGCCCTCCAGAAGTTCTCTCCTCCATTCTTCTGCCTCTGGATTAGATTTCTCTGTCAACATCCTGAGCTGGAGAAGTTTCCACCTGAGCTAGAATTTTCTGCTGTCTTCAATGTAAATGGGGAAGGATAGTGGTCACTTATTTTTATTTTATTTTATTTTATTTTTTGAGTTGGAGTCTCCCTCCATTGCCCAGGCTGGAGTGCAGTGGCACGCTCACAGCCACCCCAGCGTCGACCTGCTAGGCGCCGGCGATCCTTCCACCTCAGCCTTCCAAGTAGCTGGAACTACAGGCGTGCACTATCATGCCCGGCTAATTTTTGATTTATTGTAGAGACGAGGTCTTGCCAGGTTGCCGGGCTGGTCTCAAACCCTCAGGTTCAGGCAATACACTCGCCTCGGCCTCCCAAAGTGCTGGGGTTACAGGATGAGCCACCGAGCCTGGCCATGGTCACTTACTCTTAAGTCTTTGCTCAGATACCATCTCAAGGGGGCTTCCCTGACCACCCTGCTTCAAATCATGACCCTGCATCCTCTGCCCTCTTGATCCCTTCCCTGCCTGGTGTTTCTGCACAGCACTCTCACTTTCTAAGGCACTGCATTACTGGTTTATGGACTTTAGTCTGCCTTCTCCCCACCCCCAATGCTAGAGCCGTAGGGCAGAGGTCTTTGCCAATTTTTTTCATGTGTCCCCAGCACCCAGAACAGTGCCAGGCACAGAAGAGGCACTCAGTAAATATTTGCTGAATGAATGCATGCAGGATGCATGTAAAGCATTTCCTAGGACACCCAACCCCTTATGATTATTGCAGCTGTTGTTTGTTGTGTGTGCCTTGTGCAGATTCCTTAGCCTCTCTGGCTCTCAGTCTCTCTGTCTGTAAAATGGGAAGATTGAGCCGTTCATGATCTATGAGCGCCTTTCTAAACTGAAACAACTTAGTGTCCCCAAATACTCGAAATTGGGAGGGTTCTTCCCAAAGCTCACCTGAGACTCCTCATGTGGTTCTCAGCAGCAGCAGTGCCGGACTTAGAGGGGCTACGCACCCCCTTCTCAGCAGCGCCCCCTCCATTTTTGCCCCCTCGGCAAGGTGGGGTATGGACCATGAGTTGGCCCAATAGTTGTTGGAACGGTTTCCATTCAGATATTTCTGTTTTATTTTAACTGACTTTGATGTGTTGTTTCACAACATGCTTTCAATAGAGGCAATTCATTACGTGCATAATTAAAGGCCATTTGATTTTAATTTCTTTGTTAAGAGTTTTCATAGAAATAAACAGAGTTCAGAAAAAGAAAAACTTGCCAGCCCATGGGCCCTGATTTTGGGATTTGGACATGTGGTCCTTGGAGATGAAGATTCACACTATCCTGCCCCAGGTGGGGCCCTGACAAGGTTATACCTCAGAGAGCTCAGGAGCATCTGTTTCAAGGGCTCAGGCCAATAGGGCTAAGACCATGCTCACAGGGCCCCAGTCCTTTCCCTCAGAATCCCCCTCTGAAAGAACCCACCCAGCTGCTCCTGTGGGAGCAGTTTCAGGAGTAAAGGTAGCTTCACATTCCCGGTGTTCGTATTCGCTGAGTAACTGGGATGGCCTCGGATGAGGGGCGGAGGGACAGGTCTGGCAAGTTCTGTGTTGTTTATACTGGGGATTACCTCACACATCCCAACCAGTTTCCCCGCCCCATTTGGTAGGGGCTGACCCTCGGCCCTCCAGCCCCCTTTTCCCCACATGTCTAGGAAGCCAGGGGCCAACATGGACCTTCTCTTGGATATCAGTTAAGCCTCGAAGACTCATCCCTCGGAGACCATGGAGAGGGACAGCAGCCGGGTGAGTGTGACTGTGGGCCTCGGGCCAGACCCTCCCGGCACTGAGGAAGCCGGACCGGCCTGGGAGACAGGTGGGGCCGCTACGCATGCGGCTCAGGTTTGGGGGAAATTAAATGTGACTTTTCAAAGTTTGAAGCTACTTGGGATCAAGATTTCTTGACCTCCTTTTAACACGGTTCTAGAATGAGCCCCTGGGAGGAGAAGCTGATAGACTTTGGGGTCTGGTCAGTAAGCACCGCAGAGCTGTGTGGCTGAGTTCTGGATTCCTGCTCTGTGGCTGTGAGCACTCCTGCCAGACATCTATACTAAGAGAATGTCTACTTTGCTGGTGGAGAATCTAATCTGACCTAATTTATTTTAGTCTGATTTTTGCTGTCTTGAGAATCAAATGCATTGGAACTGGTCTTCGAGATCACCTTGTCTAACCTCCTCACTAGACTTCTAAACCTTCCCAGAAAATTGCCTTTCTGCGTGTACTTAAAATTCTCAAGAGAATACTTCAACATCCCTTGGGCACTTATTTTGGGGCTTAAAAACCTTTGCACTTGAGAAGTGCTTCCTGATGTTTAATCACGATTCCTTCTACTACAATTCAAGTTTCTTTCTTCTGCTACTGCTCTTGGGGTGATAGAGAGAACAGCCAGATTGTCCTCTGTGGAAAAGCCAGTCACATACACTTGAAGGCTGCCAAAGGTTTTGTTCAAGTGTGCCTCAGCTTTCTTCTCTTCCAGGAAATCCCTCTTGTGCACTCACTTCTTGTTAGGTCTTGTTTTCCACTTCTCTCTACGTTCTTTGTACTTTACCAATATGGTAGAATCTGGAGGTCTGGGAAGGATGAACCAGCATCAGGTGTGGGAAAAATATTCTCAGCCTATATTCTAGTTTATAGCTGGCTTGTGGTCCCTTCTGAACCTCATATGTGTTTCTGTGAACTTTACCATCATTTCTCCCACCATTCTTCCAGCTTCCTCTTGACTTATCTTTTCCAGGCTGCCTCTCTGCCCTCTGCTTTGGTCTCCTCAGTTTATGTGTCTCAGCAAGGTCACCTGGCTGTAGACATCGGGGGATTATCAGAGTCTCTGTTGAGCAGTAAGGGTGGTGTACTGGGCAGAATGGAATTTTGTCTGGGGCGTGGGGAGGCTGAACCCACACTCACAGCCATGGGGCATCCTTCTTGGTAACTTCCTGGGAGCCTAGAGCTGATGTTCCCTAAACCCAAGGTTGAGAAGGGCCAAGTTATCTGAAGAGCTGCCATGCCCACATTGGAGATAGATGGGGGGGCCCATCCCAGGGACAGGGTCGTGGGGGCAATGTCTGCCTGGGAAGTTCATCTCTCCAGACTCAGGAACCAACATGGAAAGTTGCTGGAGAGGCACAGGATGAAGAGCAGACTTTTCATTGTTGATGGAAAATAAGGATTCCCAATTAATCTATGAATCAAATGCCAGGTAGTTTGGTAGGTGCTGTGTTCATTGTGGAAGATTGTTCAAACTTACCTTGAAATGGAAGAACTGAACCATGACATCCTTACTTAAGGTTCTTAAATTTGCCCCCTGTTTAAGGTAGAACCCCCAAGAGATTGAGCCTGGGGCAGGAGCAGGGGGGCTATAGTTGGAGTTCTTAATCTTATCTGCAACACATTTCTTAAGAATGAATAAATTGGAATTGGCCAGGAGAAAATGGTCATCTGAGGTCATCCTTCTCCCTAAGGTCTTTATGGCAGAGAGATGCATTGTGGTTTTGTCCTTCAACTCCAAAAGGCACCGAGAAAGATAGTGGTCAATAGCTTAAGCCCGATGTTGCTCCCATGGCAGCTGTTGGTGCTCAGAGGGAATTTGGAGAAAGGGTAGAGAAGGCTCTTAGCGTCTCAGATTCAGAAGAAAAACTGCATGTTGTGGTAGACAGAGAACTGACTGCATTCCAGGTCAGATTTGGGCAAACCACTTAATCTTTCTGTGTCTTAGTTTCTTCATCTGTAAAATGGAGTCATAATGGTGTTGTTAAAGAAAAACTTCAGGCAAGTTAAATTCTACAGAATTTAATTGAGCAAGAATGATTTGTAAATCGGGTGGTCCACAAACCAGAATAGGTTCAGAGAGACTCCAGCACTGCCGCATAGTAGGAGAGGATTAGGGACAGGAAAAGGAACGTGATGTGTGGAATACGGAAGTGAGGGCAGAAACGTCCGGATTGGTTGCAGAAACGTCTGGATTGGTTGCCTGGCTTGAACAGTTGGCCGCCTTTGATGGTCAAAACTCAGTGACTGATACAAGAGTAAGGTTACAGTCTGTTTACACGTCCATTTAGGTTACAGTTCACTAGGTACCAAGAAATCTTTTGATCCAAACTTAAAATATGTAAAGAGACAGCTTTAGGCTAAACTTAATTGAACAGTACCTACCTCAAGGAGTCTCAGAATAGTGTCTTTCTCACAGCAATGCTCATTTAGAATAGCATTTGGCATTGATGGATCGACGTAGAGAGATATCACAGAGTTCTGTGAGCCTTATCACCATCACCATCTAGAGTATAGTACTGGCTCATCGAAATTTGGACAAATATCTTCTTCTCTCCATGTCTGTTTCCCTACCTACCAAAGAGGGTTGGACAAATTGTCCCCTGAAGCCCCTTTCTGGTTCCATGGAAGTCTCTGGAATCACAGAATTGCATTACAGATGCATGCTATATGCATTTGCTCTTGATAAATAATGCATATTTTGTGCTTTTTCAAGACGGGTCGCACTTTTAATGCTTAGGGAAGCACAATGCTTGTTAAGAGAGACTGAAGTAGACTTATTGACGAAGCAACATTCCTCTGTGGAGTGGATTTTCTTATGCTAGGTCTTAATGTGGAGCAAGTTCCAAGTAAGCCCAAGACCACAGATGCTATGGACTAGTGAGAACAGGGCTTGGACCCTGGAGCTGATCCAGGATGAGGTACCCTCCCCAAGAGGGCTGGGAAGGTTCCCAAGATGGCATACCAGTAGGCTACAGTGATTACCCAGGCCAGTAGTAGCTCCCAGCCCCAAAGGGCAGGTGTCCTGAGGACCCTGGTACCTGCCCTCCGCTCCTGCAGGCATGCGGCCCTCCCCACGACTTCTGCTTCATGCTCTCGCTGATGCTGGGTAGCCTTCCCCTGCACAGCCTGCCATGACTTCCCCTGCATTGTCCCCTGTGACTCGGCAACTGTGAGTGTAAGCTTGTAGGAGTGTGTGTATCGGGTTCCAGGCTGGGGTGCTGGGAGGGAACTGATGTGACAATGGCCACTTAGTTTAAGTGCCTTGTTTTGGCACACAGCTTCCTCTTGGTATAGCAACAACAGGGGTGGATATGCCAGCCAGGTGGGCAGGGCGCTGGTAGACAGACAAGAGGGCAGCCACCACAAGGAATCCCAGCTTTGTCAAGTGGAGGGTGGCTCTGCTAAATAGAGAAGCAGTTCCTAAGACTGTACAGGGAGTCCCCACTGTGTACCAGCCTTGAACTGATTGCATAGACAAATGGCGAAACTGAGGCTGCAAATTCTTGGGTGATCACATATTATTTGCTTGACAATAGTGGGACTCAATGTTCTTTAAGGTATTTGATGAATGAATGAATGAATGAATGAATGAATGAATGAATGAATGAACGAACAAGGAAATGTTTTGATTCTGATCTAACAGGGTCTCCTAGGCTTTTTCATGTGTGTAGGAGGCATCAGAAACTACAAGGAACTTTAGTGCTTACCTAGGCCAGTAGTTTTTAAGTTATTCATCACAGCAGCCTTTTTTGGTTCAAACAAAATCTTATATGGAGTCCAGTATATAAAACTGAAAAATGGGTCTTCTCTGTTTGAGGTGGGGTAAGGGTTCAGAGCCCCACACCACAGGGTCTAGCAGCTGGTCTGCAAGGCACCTCCATGGAACCTATAATGGTCTGTGGAACCCCATTTGGAAACTGTTGATTGTCCAGACCCTTCATTTTTTTAGATTAGGGAGCCGAGCCCCAAAGAGGGATATGACTGTCCCCAAGGTCACATGACTGGCCGGAAGCATAAGCAAGGCTCTTTTGTGCCTCCCACACCAGGGAAAAGGGAGGCTTTGAGGCTCTGGCTTCTTATCCTGGAGCCCAATCTGACTCAAGGGCTGACCAGGATCCCTGAGGATGACATTGTGTATGCACTGGGGATGTTGGTGGCCAATGCGAGGAGGTGGTGGAGAATGTACCTGTGTTCTGAGGGGAAGCCTGTATTTGTGGGGTTTTTCTGGGTTCCTGGAGGGAGATAGTAGGAGAGAGCCCTGTGTACCCCGTGATACAGTGAAACCTGGGTCTAGCAGTGAGAAGGGGACAAAAGCCACAACCCACCCCAACTCAGTACAGTCTAGTCCTCATTGGGATGGGGTCAAGCCTCCCTTGCCCCAGGCTCCAGAAAGGCAAGGAAGGTTTCCTGTCAAAGGGAGCTCCTGAACTTTCTTGGTACCCCTAGTGCTTCTGGTGGGGTTTAGGGGCATATCTTCCTACCTAGAATGCTGGGGCAGAAGCCCATGGTCTGCCTGTGCCCCCTTCTTTGAGCGTCTTCCATATTTAGAGTCAGTGGAACAGAGAAGCTACCATAGGGGCCCAAGTCTGGATATTGATAAGGGGTACACCGTGGGGAAGCACAGTGTTGTCAACAGCCCAAGGATGGGAGCCAGAAGATCAGGGTTCTATAACTGGCACTGCCCCTGATGGCTGTGTGACATTGGACAAGTCACAATTTTAACTAGGCCTTCATCTCTTCACCAGGAATAAATGGCTTGGGCTTGGACTAGAGAAATTTCTCTCTCTTTCAATCTCTCTCTCTCTCACTCTCTCTCTCTCTCTCTCTGAGATGAAGTCTTGCTGTGTTGTACAGGTTGGAACTTGTTGAATTTCTGGCCTCAAGTGATCCTCCTGCCTCGGCCTCCCAAGTAGCTAGAACTATAGGCACTGCACCACCATACCCGGCTTACAGGGCTTTCAAAGTCCTTTCAGCTCTGATAGCCTGTGATATGCCCAGCCAGCCCTGGGGTGTCGCTTTATGAAGAGATGACCCAGGATTAAGGAGGGTGGTCCACTTAGTTTAGACTGGACTTAAACGGGCATTGATGGGCATTGATGCACCTGCCCTCAGGCTATGAAGGTGTGTCATTGTTGCTGCTGCTGAATATTCTTCAGGTCTAGCAGGAAAGTTCTTTATAGGGGTATTCTCACTGCAAACCTGGGGCTTGAGGTGACCCACAGCATGTATTTTCCAGAGTTCAGACTGTTGCCTGTGGCTGGAGAACTCTGTCTATGCAAAGTCTGGGGCTCAATCCATGGAGCAGTCATATAACTGCTAAGACAAAGCAACCCAAGGACTGGCATTACTCACAGACAGAGGGTCCTATCCTGGCAGTACTGGCTGGACCCACAGAAGATTCAGAAAAGGCCAACAGCAGGACACACTTAGGGGCTTGTTAACTAACTCCCATCCCCATCAGGTAAGGACCCATGGGGCAGAGTCTGTTACAGGAAACAGTTATAATGGCCTCTTCGCCTGGAGGTAGAGGGTCTACCCCTGGAAGCTGTGGTATAGAGAGCACTGGGCTGGGAGCAAGGGCCCTTGGGCTTTAGTCTCTTGTGCTATAAGATGGACCTGAGCAGCTTTGGGCATATTTGGGGCCTCTACTTCCTTTCTGAAAAATGGGAATAATAATCTCTATAGACTTCTACTCAGGCAAATGCTTGGAAAGGGTCCCAGAGTCAGGAACTGCTCTTTCTAGCTTTCTACTGATCCATCCCTCACTGCTGCCTATGGACCTCTGCCCTGCCTGCCTGCCATGCTGCCTCTTGCCCAGAATTTCTGGAGGCCACTGAACAAGCTCTGAGAGAGGACCCCTGGGAGCACAGTGTTGTCAACAGCCCAAGGATAGGATGGCTGGGAGCTATAGAGGTACAGCCAAGTGGCAGCGACAATAGTCTGAACTGTGAACCTGTTTCATGGCATGGCAAGGGCCCACACTGCATCTCCCCAGGGAATGATCCCAGAGACCACCACAGGGGTGACCCCAGAGACCACCGCAAGGTTGAGCCCAGAGACCACTGCAAGGGTGACCCCAGAGACCACCACAAGGGTGATCTCAGAGACCATCACAGGAAATGACCTCAGAGAGCATCACAGGTGTTGACTCCAGAGGCCAGCACAGGGGTGGCCCTAGAGACCACCACAAGGGTGACCCCAGAGACCACCACAGGGGTATGTGGGGAGGACAGGCAAAACCAGGAAAGAATCACTGGCAAGGCTGGACTAGGGAAATGGTCTGGAGTCACCAAACTCTCCTGCTCTCCCCTGTCTTCCTGCCCCTGTGCAGACTGAGAAGCCTCTGGTCTGCAGGCAGGTTGTGAGGAGGCCAGGGCACATCAAGGAGTTGGCCATTTGAGTTCCATTCCTGGGTCTTCTGCTCACTGGCAAAGGCCAAGATTTGGGAGGCCTGGGTTTTGGTCCTGGTTCTGCCCCCTGTAGCTCGGGACCTTGGACAAGAAGTTTCCTCCTTCCCATTCCCCACCTGCTCAAGGCATCTGCTCTGAGGGTGAGGTTAGGTCTCTAGTGAGAGCCTGGAGTCTCTACAGTTGTTCTCCAAGAATTGAGGAAAGGAAACGAGTTAGTGCTACAACAGGTTAGACAACAGGAAGAACTTTCAGCAGGGTGAGGTGGCAGCCTGTAAAATGCCCAAAGAAAGATGGCTGTGGAATCTCCTATTACTGGGGTCCCTGAAGGCAAGAGCTCTTCCTAACATCCTGGAATTGTTTGTTTGAGAAGCAGAGTTAGGAATGGAGCAGGTGACCTAACTCTGGGTGCTGCTGTCTTCTGGTCTGGGGGTTGCTCTTCCAAACAGGTCTTGGGATCCCAGGACTCTCCTCTTGGGCAGGTTCGAGGGACTGATCACTCTCCATCTGCCTCCGACCAGCTCTGACAGCTCTGACCAAGACAAGGGCTGGACGCTTCCGACTCGGGGCCTGCAGGGCCTCACGCCCTTTCCCGGATATTACCCTTTCTGGCTGCTCCTGGTATCCTACCATGCCTGCCCATTGCCAGTTCCCTCTCTGGTCTTACTCCCTCCTGCTACTCCAGCTTCATAGGCACACCATCCCCCCACCCCCCAATCCCCACCTTCATCCAAGGCTTTCCACCCAATTTCCTCTATGTCCACCCATGTGGGCTTCTCAGCCCTCTCTCCTTCAGCCCCAGTGCCTTTGTTCCTGCACACCACGATGGAGTGACAGGGGCAGGATTACAGGGTCTCATTCAAGGGCAGGCAACCTGAGCATTAACTGGAACTTAGAAGGCAGTGCTAGTGCTCTGAAACCTGCCGGCTAGGTTGGGGAGTTAGGCTTGCTGTTCAGTCCCTTGGAGTCCGGGTCCTTGTGTGTAAACGGGACAGTCATTCCTGCCCATCTTGCTGACCAGGAGCCTTACGAAGATCAGATGGTATACTGGGTGAGAAACTGCAAACTGCAAGCCCAGAAGCGATGCAGGAGACCCCTTGGACCTTCTCAAAACTGTTGGTCAAGACTTCTGTGGCTCCTAGTAGGCCTGCTTAGAAGCCAAGCCCTGTCACTTAGCTGATATGCAAATTGGAGCCTGTTCTTACCTCCCTGGACCTTGGTTTCAATATCTATGAAATGGGACTAACAACACCAACTTTAAAGGGCTGTCATGAGGTTGAAATTGGATCCAGTAAAGTGTTAGTTGTCATGGTTCAACACACACTCATAGAGAGACTCTTTCACGTGTATTTCCCATTCATCTGGGGAAGGAGGTAAGATGTGCCTCATTTAACACGTGCAGAAGCAGGCTCTGAGAGGTTACTTTACTTGCCCAAGGTAACCCAGTTAGAAATGGAGGTTGTCATATTCAAATAGATCTTTCTATTTCAAGCCCAGCATTCTTACACAAACAAACAAAACACTGCCGTCAGGGCTTATGTTAATCAAGCCCTGACTGTGTGCTGTGCACTTTGGATATATCATCTATGACTCCAATGCTGTGAAGCAAGTGATTAACTCCACCTCACAGTTAAGGAAACTGAGATGTGAAGAGGTGAAGTCACTTGCCCAGGGCCACCCACTTGGCTTAGAGGCAGGACCAGATTCCAGCGTGGTCACTCTAACATAGAGTACTGGATGACACACCTTGACCCTGCCACTCCCAGCCACTGGGCTCTGCCTGGTCCTCACAAACCTCAAGACCCACTGTGGGTCACATTAGAAAGTATCACAAGACGAGCCAGGCTCAGTGGCTCAACCTGTAATCCCAGCACTTTGGGAGGCCGAGGCAAGTGGATTGCCTGAGCCTGTGGGTTCGAGACCAGCCTGGGCAACTTGGTGAGACTGCACCTCTACAATACATCAAAAATTAGCTGGGCATGGTAGCGCACGCCTGTAGTTCTGGCTACTTGGAAGGCTGAGGTGGAAGGATCTCTGGAGCCCAGCAGGTTGACGCTGGGGTGGCCATGAGCGTGCCACTGCACTCCAGACTGGACGATGGAGTGAGACTTCAACTCAAAAAAAAAAAAAGAAAGAAAGTATTACAAGACCAAGATCCTGCAGGAACCCCAGCATCCCACCCCCCAGGATCCTGCCCCCCAGGCTCACAATGGTGCTCCTGATCCTGCAGGGCCCAGGTTCTGGTTCGTAGGCTGTGTCACAAATGTAAGATGAGCGCCCTGTACACATGTTTCAGGGAGATGACTGCGCCAGGAGACTCTTGCTCTGATCCAGGAAAGGCAGGGGACTCAGATGCAAATGGGCTTGGTGCAGAATCCTGACTGTGATTTTGCAATCTAAGCTCTGAGTCTTGATTTTCCTTATCTGTAAAATGGGCTTTTAAGAGTACCAACCTCCCAGAGATGTAGGGAGACCTCATGAAGCCATAAATGTGGAATCTTCTTATATACTCTAAAGTGCCAGACGCATGTGAGCTGCTAGCATTTTATTCTCCTGGCTTATGGGAAGTCCCCCTGACTTTGGGGAAGACCCAGAGTGTGAACATAACCAGGAGGGAGATGAGACAGTCCACTAGAGGTGCCACAATGCTAGGATCTGTGGCAGGGGCCAAGGCTCAGGCCACTACTCGCAGGAAGCACAAGGCCATACACAGCTGGGGCTTATCCCTCTTATTGAAGGACCTTAGTCTGGTCTTTCCCTGGCACCCTCTTTCTCCCTCAGATGAGCTCACACCACCTCTCAGTCCCTCCGTCACGCCCCACGGCTGTTAAATGTCAGCACAACTGGTGCTGTGATTTCCCATGCAAAGGAGGGAAGGAATGGCCATTCCTAGGTAACTGCTGTGTGGCAGGCATTGGCAGGAGCACCCCCATTTCATCTCATTGGATCTTCAGGATGATTAGTTCTATTTTACAGATGAAGAAAAGGCTCAGAGAGGTACGTGGTTGGCCCAGGGTCACACTGCTACCAAGTAATAGGCCTGGGATTGGAACCCGGTCTTCCTGACTCCAAAGCCAGCGCTGTCGGTGGACACATTCTCTTTCTACACAGCCTCGCCCCCAAGCCTGGTCCTGTTTCATGTGAAGCTGCTAGGAGCGAACCCTTCTGTTTTATGGAAATCCAGTCTTTAGACAATGGCCACGAGAGGCCGTGCAGAATGGGGACAATAATGGTTCCTACTTCATAAGGTTCTCAAGAGGATTCAATGAGTAAATATTAAGGACCCAGACCTCAGCTCTGGGTCTGTTGGGTCAGCGGAGACCACAGGTGCCCTCAGGTTCCTAAACACACACAAGTGTGTCCCCGCTCAGCCACTGGAGCATCAGGACCGGAGGGTATGTACCCACACCTGCCAACTAACCCCGGTAACTTCCTGGAAAAGCTGCTCCTGGGCCCTGCTTCCGGCAAGCCAAGTGTGGTCAGGAACTTGAGATTTCTCTTTGAATTCATCTCACAACCCCAGAAAAATGAGGAAGTGACCAAACCAATGACCTTGATCTCCCAGAAAAGGAAATTCAAAAAATAAAAACACAAGGCACTACCTGGCAGGGATGATGATGTTGACTTGGACCAGGTGTTCTAATCAGGAGGACTTGTACCCGGTCTGCACAGTAGTAACGGTTACATGGTTTTAAGCACAGTGGGAGGTGAGGGATGGAGACAGATGCCAGAGAGTCAGAGGTCTAGAACTTTCTGTCTTCTTTACACAGCCCTATGGACTCTGGCCCCAGGATAGGGTACCCAAGCACAGGTGGGTTTCCTGCCTCCATTCCTGCTATGCCCCAAAGAGACCCACCCTCCTGAGCAGCCAATCAGTTCTCAGCAGAAATTATAATGGAGGTCAGATATGGTCCATGGGCCTGGCCAGTTCCCACCTCATCCTGCTGCTCTGGGGCTGAAGAGGCAGAAGCAGTGGGAGGGAGATCAGAGACCTCTGTAAGGGGCAAGAGGGAGGGGAGAAGATGCCTGCCTGGTTGTGGGTGCCCAAGCACTTCTATCACCCTGATCTTCCGCTGGCTCCCTCTCCCAGATACAGAGCACCTCACAGGCTCAGGCTCTCCAGGGAAGGAGAAGGACTGGCATTCGTCGATCCCCTGCCAGCTGCTGCCTTCTCTCCTCTTCTGCATCTTTCCTCAGAGAGACAGCAAAGCCTAATGATGGAGAATGTGGCCTCCAGAGTCCCACTTCCTGGGCTCAGATCCTGACTCTGCTACTTTCTAGCAATGAGAACATGGTTAAGTCACTTAATCTGGTTGCCTTTACTTCCCCTGTGCAAAATGGGATAACAGTTCTTACTTCACAGGGCTCCTAGGAAGATTAAATGAGTAAAGCATATAAAACACTTAAAGCATAAGTCCTCTGCAACTCTAAATTAAAGTATTAAATCCAAACTAATAAATCTAAAGTGATAAATCACTCCACCTACAGCTGGGTAAGGTTACAAATCTCATCCAAGAGTGGTGAACTCATACCCCAGCCTACAAACACCTGCATCTTGCCTCTCCAGTTTCCCTGATGTACTGGGGTGTACTCAGGTGTGTGTGTGTGTGTGTGTGTGTGTGTGTGTGTGTGTGTATAAAACTCCTGGTGTTACTGAGAACGGTGGGGTTCAAGGCAGGTCAGGTGTTCTTGAGAAGTGCTTTTCAGCCGGGCTTGGTGGCTCAGCCTATAATCCCGCGCCTTTGGGAGGCTGAGGTGAGTGGATTGCCTGAGCTCAAGGGTTCGAGACCCACCTGGGCAGGCGAGACCTCATCTCTACAATAAATAACAAAAAATTAGCCGGGTGTAGTAGCACGCGTCTGTAGTTCCTGCTACTTGGAAGGCTGAGGCGGAAGGATCGCCAGAGCCCAGCAGGTGGAAGTGGCCACTGCACTCCAGTCTGGGCAACAGAGTGAGACTCCAACTCAAAAAAAAAAAGGAGTGCTTTTCACGCTTTTTGACTACAGTTCATAGTAAGAATAATATTTTACAACCTAACCCACATACATGAAAGAAAAGGGTGAGGATGTAAGGGTGGGAGAGGGCAGAAGGGGTGAGAGGTTGGTCACTTCCCCCACAGGTGACCACATTTCCTTGACACCAGGTCTCTCAGAGTGAGTGACCAGCCTGGCAACCTCTCCTTTTCACCCTCCCTAGACATGTGCAGCCTAAGCAGGTGCCCCCATCCCTGTGGAGACTATGGGGAGCTAGGGACAGCGGGCTCTGAGAACTTTTACATGGTCCTTGGACAGGCTTCTCTTCTCAGGTGCTTCCTGGTCCAGGGATTCTGCTCAACTCCCAGCCCACAGCTGGCAGTCGGGGGTGCTGGCAAGGGAGAAGCCTGAGGGATGCTCTTCACTCTGCTTTCAGAATGCTTCCCCTGCAAGGACATCTCCGGCAAGGACATCTTCAGCCAGGGCATCTCTAGCCCGGGCGTCTCCAACTCGGGCGTCTCCGACTCAGGCATCTCCAACTCGGGCATCTACAGCTCGGGCATCTCCAACTCGGGCATCTACGGCTCGGTCATCACCTTCCAGGTCATCGTCCGGCAGGTCATCATCTGCCAGGTCGGCCACCACGACATCCTCCCCAACCAGAGTGTACCTTGTTAGAGCAACACCAGTGGGGGCTGTGCCCATCCGTGCATCTCCTGCCAGGTCAGCACCAGCCACCAGGGCCGCCGGGGAGAGCCCAGGTAAGGGGAGGAACAGGGTAGTAGTCCATGGGCAAGGAGGAAATCGCAGGGCCAGCACTCTCTGCACCTCATGATGGACAATGATGTAGGAGGAGGATGTCTAGGGTGGGTAGTGCGAGACCTGGAGAGGCGGGTCAGAAAGGAACCATTCCGTGAAAACCCAAGACAATAGAAAATCTGGGGCAAAGGGGGCAGGGGATAAGAAGCCAGGACCAAAGAGGCAGCGTGTAACTTTGGAATCTGTACAACTGGGACCAGAGTGCTGATTTCAACAGCAAAGACCCTGGTTAGTGACCAGTATTCTTTCCTTGGGCTGCCCTGTGGTCTGCCTAAGAAGCTGGGGAAGACAAGGACACGATCAGTGGGCCCGTCTGTGGGTGGAGGAGGAAAGAGAGATTCTGAGCAGGCATGCACCTCCACCCCCAGTCTTCCAAACTGTGGGGTGCGTCGCTCAGCAACTAAGAAGTCGGTGAGGTCAAATGCGACTCGGGGCTGGTTCTGCCCTTAAGGAAACAGTTGTTTCTGTCCATCCCAATTTTGCCCTCTCCCATCAAAGACTTCAGATTGTCCCCATGACCCCAACACAGTATGGACAATGTCTGGCTTAGGAGGATCACCCAAGGTTCAGGGTTCATCCCACAGCCTTGCCCTCTCCAGGGTGGGTGAGGTACTTTGGTGTGGTGGGCTTCAGAATCAGACACACTGCATTTGAATCTTGCCACTAACTAGACAAGTAATGTTGGGCAAGCTATTTCACGAATCTCAGTTTCCCCATCTATAAAATGACCTAACAAGACTCAGCTCGCAAGTTTGCTATGAGAGTTAAGTAAGAGAAGGCATGCAGAGTGCCTGGCTAGAAAAAGCACAGTACAAGACAGCTGTTGGCATCGGGCAAGCTGGTGCCATGTTCTGGGGTGGAGTGGTCCTGACGGGACCCTCACAGGCCAGCCTTGTTTCCGTCTTCCCCCCTCCGCTGTGCCGGACTCCTCCAAACAGCCTTACCCTTCCCTGCTGCCGCCCCGCCCCTAGGTCTCAGCTTACCCAAGTTCTCCTGGCAGGAAGGCCAGAAGCGGCTGCCACTCATCGGGTGCGTGCTCCTCCTCATCGCCCTCGTGGTGTCGCTCATTATCCTCTGTGAGTTGAACAGGGGAGCAGGGGCGGGCTCTGGTCACTGCAGGGTGGAGTGGGACCGGGGATGGGAGCATGCTGCAGGGACAGGCATGGGGACCACATGCTCATCCAGCTACCATGACCACAGGGAGACACTCCTGCAAATGCCCTTGGACCATGGCGCTCCTGGCCCCTTGGTTTGAGGGAGCTAAGCTAAGAGTGTGGGAAGCCAGAGGAACCTGGACTTGGGTCTCACCTGTGCCACTTAAGTGCAGCTTCCTTGGGCAAGTCAGTTAACCACTCTAAGCTCAGTGTCTGCATCTTCAGATGAGCTAAAATTCATTCATTCAATTGACTGTGTGCCCCATAGGATCTCATCCCAACTATCATGGGTTATAAGGTAGAAACGAGACAATGGCACAATGCCTGGCACAACGTCTGACTCGCTATTAAAAAAAAAAAAGGGCCGGGCTCAGTGGCTCAGCATGTAATCCCAGCACTTTGGGAGGCCGAGGCGAGTGGATTGCCTGAGCCTGTGGGTTCGAGACCAGCCCTAGCAAATCAGCAAGACCTCATCTCTACACAAATTTAAAAAACCAATAAAAATATGAAAACACCAATTGGAAAATGTCTTTCAGGGTTATTCAGTCAATGAGATGACAAGTTCGGTGTTCGGGGGTTCAGGCCCCCTCAATTGTTCCCCCTGTTTGGAAAAGATACCCAGGACACGTCCTAGGGCTCTCTGCTCAGGAGTCCACCATGAACCCAGCACAGGAGGAAATCTTAGGAGAACCAAACATGAATACGTGTTATACTGTTCTGACCTCAGGGAGACTACTGTATCTTGAGAGGTGTAGCTAGCAATCACGAAGGGCAAGTACATGTGAGTGTGACCTGTGAGGAGCAGGTAACAGCTGTGTGAACTGGATGCAGGGGACAGCTCCGTGGGGCCAGATGAGGGTCTGGGAGACAGGAGAACAGACACGCCCTGGACAGGACACCCTGGTGGATGAGCAGCCACAGGAACCATGGGAGGCCAGACGGGCAAGGACGGCACAGAGGACAGGAAGGGACCTGCCTGACCAGAGAGAAGAATGCACATTTGGGGACTTAGGGCCATGTATTTGGTTTGATAAAGTCAGGCTGAGGAGGAAGAATTCTGTTAAAGATATGGCGGTAAAGAGTGGGGTAGACCAGCAGTTGGAAGCATCGGCTGGCAGGGCTGTTTGAGGAGGGCTTCCAGGAGGAGGTGATGTGCTGGTAAAGCAGGTTTAGTGACACGCAGACCTGCTATAGCTCCCTGGCTCTGCCACTGAACATGTGGGGCTTGGGCCAATTCATTAACATTCTGAGCCTCAGTTTCCCCACCTGCCTAAGCAGGCAGTGGAATCCTGTCACGATGCTCATAAAGGCCCGCTGTGACTTGCTGTCTTTCCTCCTTCCCTTTAGCAGCACAGGGCTCCCTACTCCATGCGAGCAGTGGGAATGATCATTGAGGAGAGAAATGGCCCCCGCGGGCAGGCATGCTGAATAGAATTAAAGTTCTCCACGTGGTTTCACGGCTCTTCCTGAAGTCCCCAACAGTTCTGCCAGGGAGGTGGCTTGACCTATGCAGGCTACAGAGCAGCTATGTGGTAGGGATAGGACCAGAGCCGAGGCTTCCTGGCTCCCTGCCCAGCACCCTCTCCACTACACTTCGACGTGTGGCTTTGTGAGGACTCTGAGGGGGGCTGCCCAGGGTTCAAGGGCTTCAGTATCCAGAGCCTGGGAGGAAAGGAGGACCAGGGCATGGAGAGGAGGGAAGAGCCCAAGGGATTAGGAGGGACTTGTGTCTGGCCCTCACCCTGGATGACCGAGAGCATGGTGGGGCTTGGGGAGAAGGTGGGTGGGGCTGAGGAGCTGGTTGAGGACAAGAAGCAGGGTGAGGAGGTCGGATCCGGGTCTGTGAGGCAGCCAAGGTCAAATCTGGGTTTGTCTCCAGGCAGGAGGGCCACACTGTGGCAGGAGGGCCACAGTTCCTGGTTTGGAAAGAGACTGACGTTAGAGGCAGAGGAAGTCATGAAGCTGCTTTTCACATATGGCTTGTAAAGCTGTTTCCTTTCAGAACCAACTTGTCCATTTGGGAAACTGCCACCTAGAATTGCTCATTAAATGAAAAGATATTTAAAGACAGAAGGACAAGGGGAAAGAGATGAGCACAGGGATGGCTCTTGTTTAGGGGAAAGGGAGAAGGGGTTACAAATACCAGGAGCTTCTGAAGCTGGAAAGACACTAGCAGCCTTTGAGGACAGACAGAGGGTGGCTGTGTGAGGGGGATTGTGAAGATGGAAATATCTTTGCTGTGACTCTGTGGGGCACAGAGAAGATGGGATGGCAGAGGGGTTCTGAGAAGGTGGCTCTGGGATTCTGGAGGAAGTGGTTTCCCTGACCACTATCCCAGCCAGCATGTAGGGTTGGGAGTTCCCATAGTGGTATCCTTCTCCCTCTCTCTCTCTCTCTCTCTCTTTCTCTGTCTGTCTGTCTGCCTCTCTCTCGGTGGCTGGCTGCTCGAGTCTGCCTGGTGCTGCCCTGCTTGCAGGAGCTTTCTGGAGCATTCCTGAGCAGCCTTTCTCTCCATACAGATGGGGGACGAGAGCCCCAGAGTCCAAGAGGGATTGCAGGTCGGTGTCTCAGAACCCCCAGGGCCTTGGGCTGCTGTGTCTTGTCTCGCTGGGGCTGACAGTGATCCAACTGCCTGCTTCTTTTTTTCCCAGTCTACTTCTGGCGGGGCCACACAGGGATCAAATACAAGGAGCAGAGAGAGAGCTGTCCCAAGCACGCTGTTCGCTGTGATGGGGTGGTGGACTGTAAGCTGAAGAGTGACGAGCTGGGCTGTGGTAAGGAGTGTGTGTGTGTGTGTGTGTGTGTGTGTGTGTGTGTGTGTGTGTGTGTAACCATCTGTGGCACAAACTATGTATTCACTTAAATAGGAGGCAATGGACACGGAATCAAGATATTCGGATTCTTTTTATTTAATTTTTTTGTTTTAGTCAGGGTGTCACTCTGTCGCCGAGGTTGGGTTGCAGTAGCACAATTATGGCTCGCTGCAGCCTTGACCTCCTGGCCTCAGGCAATCCTTCTGTCTCAGCCTCCTGAGCAGCTGAGACTATAAGCATGTACCACCACATCCAGCTAATTTTTAAAAAATCTTTTGTAGAGACAAGGTCTTGATATGATGCCCAGCCTGGTTTCAAACTCTTGGACATCATAGATAAGCAATTCTCTCCCCTTGGCCTCCGAAAATGCTGGGATTATGGCTGTGAGCCCCTGCACTCAGCTGAGACCTGAGTTCTCGAACCATAGTAGGTGGGTTTGAAACTTGAATTTGAGTGTTGTGTGACTTAGGCAAGTCATTTATCTTCTCTGGGCTTCAGTTCTTAATTTGTCAACTTAGTGGGTTAGAAAAGATTAGGGGTTCGCTAATAAAATCTAACAACTCTTGAACATCTGACTGAGTAAAGCAAAGCAGCTCTAGCTGGAGGTAGCTGTGAGGTCCGGAGCCAAATCCATGTGACCCTCCTCATTGTCCAGCAGGTGACCTCTGATGTGTCAGCCCTGAGGTTTCTTGAAGGTCAGTTTGTAAACGGGACTCGATGAGCACAAGGATTTCTTTGCACTCTGGTCCTGAGTGGTTCCTGACACATTGTCTGTGTGCACCCCTGCTGTGGGGGTACATGTGCATGTCCCACCAGTTTCACCTGTACCTTTACGTGTTCCTCACCCAAGACTGCATCCATCTGTGACTGAGCCTGTCCGGTGGACACCCAGTCACATCATAGACCTTATTCACCTTGTTACCTTCTTATCTGGGCATGTCTCTGTCTTCTTGGGTGACAGCTCCAGGCAGAGCTTGCCCCTTCTCCCAGCAATGCCCCCCTGACCCCTACTCTGGGTTCTGCCAGATGAAGAGCTCTCTGCCCAGCCCCAGCCCCTTGTGTTAGCTCTGCCCCTACTGAGCATCCTGGGTTCCTGAGTCCAGGCTGACCACCACAACTCAGGTCAAGACCCCGGACATCTCCCAGGTCTCAGGAGGAGCCTCAGGACAGGAGCATCTCAGAGCCATACTCAGCTCCCCCAAGAGTTTAAAGCTTCCTAGGTTCTGAGGATCTGTTCTGCCTTTTTATTGCCCTGCAGTGAGATTTGACTGGGACAAGTCTCTGCTTAAAGTCTACTCTGGGTCCTCCCATCAGTGGCTTCCCATCTGCAGCGACAGCTGGAACGATTCCTACTCAGAGAAGACCTGCCAGCAGTTGGGCTTCGAGAGGTAACCCCCACCCTGCCCCAGGGTCCTAGCTTCAGGGACATCCCAGTTTCAAGTCCTTCACAGAGGCATCTCAAGCATGTCACAGAAAGGTGATAATTAAAAAGGCCCTTGGGAACCAGGGCTGATCTCACTAGCTTAGGACACTTTGGGGGTATTCAAAGAGACAGGGGCCCTGTGATCTTGTGAGTCTGGGCAAGTTGTTTCCATGAGGCCAAAGTAATTATCTATAGAGCTGTAATAGTATCAGCCTCTTATATGCTCTCTGCATCAAAGCATCCTCATGTCCATCATCACACAAAATGACCGCGGGCATGGCCCTGTGAGGTGGGTAGGCGTTTGGGCAGGTCTTTTCTTCTTGCATCTGGGAATTAGAGCCTCAGGCTGTGCAAAGCCCTTTAGTGGACTTTGAACTATAGTTGTGGCTTGAGCTTGAACTCATCAGATGGGAAATGAGATGGGGCAGGTGAGGCCAGGCCAAGTCAAGGATCTTTGGCTCTAAAGATTTTAAACACATTAGCCAATACTGGTGGGCAGAGTAGGGAATAGTGTGAACTTGAAGGAGCATCCAATTTGCAGGCCAGATAGGCTTCTCTAAGCTCCCTCTTGTTTGAATGTTCAAGCTTGATAGTTTTGGGGTTTACCAGTGTATGTGGTTGTGGGGAGAAGGATTTAGGATCTCATTGTGAAAGACCAGGGATAGGGGCTAGGACTGAGAACTAGTTCTCGGCCTCCACCTCAGTCTCAGAGACCAGACTCATAAGCAGGAATCTGAGTGCATGGGCATCTTTCATCAAAGAGTTGAGTGACTTTGTGCAAGTCTGAATCTCCCTTGGGCACCCAGTTCTTTTGAATATCATTTATTCGAAGAGCATTCATTGAGTTTTGATTATGTGCTAGAGTGTGCGGTACTGGAACACAAAGGAATAAGACAGGAGCTTGACCCTGAAGAACCTCTAGTGTGGTTTAGTGAGAGGGGCTTAAGCCAATAACCACAATGCAATGTGGTGTGTGATGATAAGGATAGGCGTGTGGTACTAAGGACACACAGTGGAAAAGGCATCTGGCTGTGCTTGGAGGAGAGAGCAGAGAATGGAGGAACCAGCCCTCGGGGAAGAGGAATAGCATGTGCCAAGGCACGGCGTCATGCAAGGGTCTCCCATGCCCTAGAAACGCACACAGGCTCCACACAGAGAGTAGAGCACATCAGAATCACCTTCTGTGTTTGTGAAAATACACCCCAGAGTCAGGATCTCTGGAATTAGGCCTTAGAACCTGCTTAGCAAATACCCCAAGGGAATTCTTAGGCACACTGTGGTTTGAGATCCAATGGGCTTGTCCAGAGGTTCTCACACTTGAATGGACAAATCAATAACCTGGGATTCTCTAAAATGCAGGCTCAGTAGGTCTGGGGTGATGGCGCTGCTGCTGGTCCACAGATCACAGTTTGGATAGAAAAGGGCTAGCCTGGCATTTCTTGAGCATGCATCAGCATCACTGAAGAGCCTGTTAAAACACTGGAGACTGGGCCCACCCCCAGAGCCCCTATTCAGTAGGTGGAGTTCAAGAATTTGCTTGAAGTTGCTTCTAGCAACTTCCCAGGCCATGCTAATGCTGCCAGTCTACATTCTGAGAACAGCTGGGCAGCACACAGGCCTAGCAGGGGCAGTGGCAGAATATGTGGGTGGGGTCGGGCTCTACTGGGCCTTGACTGCAGTATGGAAGAGTTGGCACTATTCAGACCTTCACAGTCTGTCCTCCGTCAGCAGGGCTGGTGAGGACTCGAACACAGACTGGAGGACTCGGGTGGCTCTGTCTCCAGGGGACTCATTCTCCCCCACTCCTTCTTGCAGTGCTTACCGGACAACCGAAGTGGCACACAGGGATTTTGCCAGCAGCTTCTCAATCTCTGAATACAACTCCTCCATCCAGGAAAGCCTCTACAGGTACAGTGGGGCTGGTCAGGCTGTTGGTTGTGAGCAGGAGAATGAGGGGGTGAGGAGGGGGCTTTGAGTCAGGGGCTCCCTTCCCTTGTCTTTCTGGGACCCAGCTCCAGGAGCCCATCTTGAGCGTGTAGGAATACCTCGGATACAGTCCTCATTCACACTGCCCCCCATTAAATGTTCTTATTTGAGGCTTGATGCAGAGAGCAGCTTGAGATCAGGGGTGCCCCTGAGAATTTACCTGGTTGTCAGGGGCAATTTACAAACCTTAGGACCACCAGTCAGCCAGGTGTTTGGGTGGAAATTGGTTATGAGGAGTGGACCTCGGGATGGGGTAAAGCATCACTGGGTTGGAGATGGGGTCGAGGAACAGCAGCAGGGGGCTGCCAGATGCAAGTACCAGGGACAGGAGGCCCACCTGGGAAGCATCATCCTCCTCCCGGACCTCCTCGTCCTTTGTCATCTTTGCCCTGCAGCCCCCTTGTTCCTGCCCCACAAAGGGGAGGCCTGGGGGTGCTCCACCAGCTGGCACTGGTTACCTTACAGAGGTGAGAGAAGAAATGAGGCTATGAAACAGTGGGGGCGGGGACAGGAGGTGGTAAGCTGCATCTGGATGCCTGCACTGTGCTAGGTGGTTTTTATGCTACACTGAGGAATTATGTTGGAGGAACGTTAGGCCACCTGTTTAGCTGGGGAAAGATGCTGGGACAATAAAGTCCTGGGTTTAAGGAACACGTATCTGGCCAGTGTGTGCAATCTGCCCCAAGAAAACTGGGGGGTAGGGGGATAAGAGTGGAGATGGTTTGCCATCCCCATTCCTGGAGAGAGCACTGGAAGGGAGAATGTTCCACTGGGGTGGAGAAAGTCAGAAACTCCATCTGCTTGTTCAAAGGGTAGCTTCCTTTGAAAAGGGTTTGGAACTGAGCAGGAGTCAGTCAGGAAGTCTTCCTGGAGGCAGTGGCTAACATGCCCTTGTTCTACCTTCTGTGTCTCTTCCTACAGGTCCGAATGTCCTTCCCAGCGGTATATCTCTCTCCAGTGTTCCCGTAAGATGTTCTTCTTGGATTGTGGCCAGTGTGGTGTGAGAGTCAGGAGCAGAGGGGCAGCACCCCTCTGAGGGAGGGGTCCCTTGGGCCCTGGGGGTTCAAGCGAGGAAAAGGGGCTTAGCTAGCAGGCCTGCTTCAGGGCCAGGCTCCCTGTCAGGCACTGGGCTGGCCCAGGGTAACATTTCCCCTTCCCCTGACTCCAGCAGGAGCTCAGCCCAGCAACCTCTCTCACTTCAAGGAAGCTGAATCTGTTTGAATCTCCTGTGCCTCACAGGAAGTTTATTCCCCCTTTGTTTTGAAACGCTAGCGACCCCCATCGCAATGCTCACAAATGCAGGGATGTGTTAGCATTGGTCTGCTTTCCCCAGCCTCTAGTGGCATCACGGCCCCAGGGCGTGGCACAGTGTCCAAAGCACGGGGCACTTAGAAGACTGTGTCTGACTAATGAAAGAATGAATGAATGGGGAGAAGGAGGAGCCTGCCTGGGATCAAACGTCCCACTGGATGATCCCAGAAAGTTGACTCACCAAGTGGTGGCACTGCTTTGGCAGGAAACAACTGTGCAAATCAGATGCGAGCAAACCAGCATCCAGGGGTGGGCAGGTGCTGGAGCTTGTCCTGGGCCCTGGGAGCATGGTGGAGGCTTCCTGAACAGGAACTCAGGAAGAACCTCAGGAGAAGCAGGTTCACAGTTTGTCTCTTCTCTTCCCTCCAGACTGTGGACTGCGGGCCATGACGGGGCGGATTGTGGGAGGCGCGCTGGCCCCAGAGAGCAAGTGGCCTTGGCAAGTGAGTCTGCACTACGGCACCACCCATATCTGTGGAGGCACGCTCATTGACGCCCAGTGGGTGCTCACGGCCGCCCACTGCTTTTTTGTGTAAGTGCTTGACAGAGGGCGGGTGATTTGATTACTGCCCAGAATTGAGGATCGCCAGGAAGGGCTGACTGCTGACTGACTTCTCTGTGGAGGAGGATTTTGGTTGCGAATTCAGCCCCTCCTGGCCGGGAGGTGGTGGTTTGGCTTGAGCGTTTGCTTTAGAATCAGGATTTGCAGTTGGTATTTGGTCCTGAGATTGTAAGTCTGGGATATGTGTTCTGAGCTAGGCCCAAGAATGAGAAAAACCTATGGATGGCCCCTAGGGAGAGGGAGGCAGACAGGAAGAGGGACTTGGGAGCCTATGTCTGAAGAACAGGGCAAAATAAAGAGGCTTTAGGTTTGTTGTTGCTTCCTGCAACTGGAACTCACAGCAGAGGAGCCAGAAAATCAGAAATGCTGTCCCAAAAATTGAGGACCAGGGAGAGGAAGGAGGGACACCACAGTCTGCTTCTGACAGTTATCAGCCAGCCTTGTGTTTTGGGGGGCCCTCAGCCCAGGCTGATGAGCAGGAAAGGGCTCTGAGAGCAGGCCTCAGGGGCACTGCCTCCCCGGTAAGGAGTCTTCAGCGCGTCACTTTGTACTGTCTAAATCTGTTTCTGCTGAGGCTAAGAATACTGAGATCTGTCCCGCCCATCTTTTGATCCTTGGCTACTTGTAGCTGAGACAGTGGGGGTGGGAGCGAGATGAAAGCCAAACCAGAGGTCTTATTTATCCCTTCCTCTTTATTATTGTAAGGTGCAGAGCCCCAAGAATTTGGGGGGGGGTTGTGAGAGATTGTTTTGGACCCCAGAGACAAGATGGAGGACTCCCTCCAGAGGCCATTTTATCCATCCTCCTGCCCTCAAACCAGTGCTCTATATGGATGTAGCAGACACTGCTAGTGAACTCTGCCAGGTGGGTAACTGGACTGTACCCCCTTGTGACTCTTGCAGGACCCGGGAGAAGATCCTGGAGGGCTGGAAGGTGTATGCGGGCACCAACAACCTGCACCAGCTGCCCGAGCCAACCTCCATCTCTGAGATTATCATCAACAGCAACTACACGGATGAGCAGGATGACTATGACATTGCTCTCATGCGGCTCTCCAAGCCCCTGACCCTGTCTGGTGAGTGACTCTGCAGAGTGACCCTTTCCCCATCCCAGCCCACTCCATAGTCCTTGACTTGTCAGCATCTATCAACTCCTCTCGTTGCCCCAGACTCTTAGAGATCATCACATGGAACAGTTCTGTTTTACAGTTGGGGAAACTGAGGCCCAGGGTTAGAAATAAGTTTGCCCCAAATGACTCATTTCACATCACAAATTGGTGATGGAGCCAGGGCCCTGGATACCGATCTTAATTAATATAAATAGATTGAATTGTTTCACTGGTATTAACTGAGCACTTAGAGGCCAAACACTGTGGTGGGCATCGTACATAGACGATTTTATTTACTCTTCACAACCAACCCTGTGAAGCAGGTGCTATTATTAGCTTCATTTGCCCTAGGAGGAAATGGAACTTTAGAGAGAGATAATTACCTAAGGCCATGAGTAACAGGTGGCGGCCCCAGGTTTGGATCCAGGTCAGTCTGATTCCCAAGCAATGCTCTTCCCGCTCGGCTGGCAAATTGCTCGCACTGCCATTGAGAACATAAACTGAGTACACATTCAAACAACACATTGCTACGAAGTTGTTGCTGAGGACCAAATAAGACCACACCAAAGAAAAGCTACTGGGGGTCTCAGAAGATCACAGGGGATGTCAGAGAAGGTTTCCTTCATTCACCCACTCACTCACCAGTTCACTTATCAAATGCTGTGTGTCTACTATGCAGCCAGCCCTGCAGTTGCAAATGGAACGAAACAGGCTACACATACCAAGACAACGTAGAGGCCACTGGATGCGATGTCTGGGGGAGGCAGGAGGCAATGATGGCACAGATGGGGGCAGTTCATCAGTCCTGGCAGGCTAGGGGACGCTTACCAGAGAAAGGATATCTAAGGTGGGTCCTGAAAGGATTGGCGAAGACCGTTAAGGGGACTCAGGAGAGACCCTGAAGAATGGGGTCAGGGTCCTCTGGCATAGGCAAAGTTGCACAGGTGGGAAGGTAGGCGGAGTACCGGGATTTCCGGAAGCCTTGGAGGGCTCTGGTGAGTCCAGCCATTCTCGTGCTCTGAGCCTGTGCGCTGGTGTTTCCCAGCACGTTAATTATGGAGGTGCTGTCTGCCTTGAGTCAGAGCAGTCAGCTCATCAGAGTGGGGTGAGGAGGAGGATCCCTGAGTAGAGCTTGGTTGGACGGGGCTGGCCCAGAACCACGCCCACACAGGGCGGTGACCCACTCCGAGAGCCACGCCCACCTGTGGCCCCGCCCCGCCCCGCCCGCCAGCCCTCCTCCTGCTCCTCCAGCCTTGAGAGTGGAACCTGAGACTGCGAAGTCAGGCTTGCCGGCTGCTTCTTGCTCCTGTACTCATACAAGGGGACAGTCGTCTGCAGGACCACAACAGACTTTCTTCACCTTGTAAAACCCATTTGGCTAACCATCCGAATCTTACCTCTCACCCACTCTCCCCTTAATATTATTTGGAATTCCAAAACAAATTTAAAATTCCTAACCTGATGAAGACTATTCTAATATTGCATATGCTTTTCAGATGGCAGCAGTCACTCTCCAGGCTCTGATGGTCCCTTTGGCGGGAAGCAGACCCTTAATATGCAAATCACAGCTCAAATTTACATAGTCCTGCACTCAAAACATGTGCCCTGATTTTTGGTTTAGAAATCAGGGCAGATTTTCTTAAATTCATTTGGCAGGCCAAGCACCTTGAGATCTCAGTACTTTTTGAGAAAACCTGTGAAAACTCTATTTAATTCCCGCATAAAAGCAAGCAGAATATATAATAATGTAGCTTATGACAGTGTTACATGTTTCTAAAACTTGATATCTCAAAAATGGGCTCAAAAGAAATCACACTTCGCATTTTATCTAATAACGGATGCTATCCCTGCATTTATTTTTTTGTTTGTTTACTCTCTGGCAGACAAAATGTGGTAGACACCAATGTTTAAAGTCCAATTTGTAGAAGAATTTAAAATCCATTCATCCTTCCTCTCCCTCCTTCCTTTCTCTCTCTCTTCTATTAGTTAAGTGTTTATTGAGCACTTAATATGTGCCAGGCACTATTTTAGGTGCAGAATGCTGCAGTGGACATAGCAAACGACTGAGAATACTGCAGACATTCTCTCAAATAATATTTTCCTCCTGCAAATTGGAGTTTGGTGGCCTTTGCCCTAGTCCATCTAGGGACACCAGTCCTCAGAGGGAGTTAGGAAGTAATCCATAACAGTCCTTCTAAATGTTCCTGAGTGTGGGACTGAGTTAACAGGGGGTTGTGATCTGTGTTCTCTGGATGTGGTCTTTCTGCTTGGAAAGGTTTCTTATCTTGTGCTGGGGGAACATTTGGAGGGAGAGCCATGGATCCTGGCCAACCAATAGGCATCCTCTCCAGACCAGGCCATTGGGATGTCATGACCGTAATATCAGGGACTTAGTCTGTTGCTGTTCCTTACTCTGATGGAAGACATTGAAGAGGGTTAGGAGACTCACTCTTGGAGGGAAGTGACCCTCAACTTCCACAAGGGAGCTTCCAAGACCCCTGCCCACAGGGTAACCACAGGCTAACCACTGACAGCACCCTGCAGGCTAGAGGGAGAACCACCAACCACTGACAGCACCTTGAAGGCTAGAGGGAGGAGATACTGTGAGTTTCTTACCTGGTCAGTGTGAGGCCCTGGAGAACTTCAGAGCTACTCCAGAGACAAGAAGAGGGCTTCTAGACGATGGTACTCCTGTCCCCTGTCTCTCCTCTGAAACTTCCAGCACTGTTCCTTCACTGATGTCTTGCGGTCGTATTGCAGCTCACATCCACCCTGCCTGTCTCCCCATGCATGGACAGACCTTTAACCTCAGCGAAACCTGCTGGATCACAGGCTTTGGCAAGACCAAGGAAACAGATGGTGAGAGGCCAAGATGCTAGGCGGTGTGGTGTGTGCATGGGTTTGTGCTTGTACATACACATGTGTATGTGTGGGTGATGTGTCCAAGTACATAGATGAGGCCCTGTCTGAAGGAGAGTGTGGGGATGGTAGAGTCACAGGCCTGGGTATGGATGTGTGTATTTAGACACCTGCATATAAGTCAACACAGTCAGTGTGGCAATGCCCTCCAGTCAAGACCACCAGAGAAACCCCTGTAGTTGAACTAGGTGGGTTCCTTGTCTTTGCAGTGAGGGAGACCACACACCCTAGAGAGCCATGGAGTGTCTCAGCAAGAGGGTATTAGAAAGGACCTGTCATAGGATTTGGGTGGTTTGGAAAGGGTTCGAAGACGTGGGGCTTTTCACTAGATTGGATGCTATTGGGAAGCGGGGGTTACTCTGATTGGGAACCTTAATTGTCTAGGAGAGAAGAGTCTAAAGCTCTGATTGGTCAAGAGCAGCCATCACGCATATCAGCCAGGAGAGGGCTGTGTGCAGTTTTCTTGTGGTTTGCACAGTGACCTTCTTTTTGTCTGTCCTTAAACAGCATGATGAAGTGGTCTTGTCATTTTGTCTCACTTCATCCCAATCCTGGAGTGCTTTGTCCTGTAAGATTGTTTATGTGCAGCAGGAGGACTTAGTTTTAGACTCAGGCTGCTTCCATGTTTCAGGACCACTCTTCCCTTAATCGTGAGATGGAGCGATGGCTGGTGTGGGCGCAGCCTTCTTCCGATCTTGCCTGACTAGCTGTGTGACTGTGGGCAAGTTGCTTCTCCAGCCCCAGGTTTCGCCACCTTAAATGGATTAATAAGACCTGCCCTCTATTTTTTTTTTTTTTGAGTTGGAGTCTCACTCTGTTGCCCAGGCTGGAGTGCAGTGGCACGCTCACGGCCACCGCAGCCTTGACCTGCTAGGCTCAGGAAATCCTTCTGCCTCAGCCTTCCAAGTAGCTGGAACTACAGGTATGCGCCACCATGCCTGGTTAATTTTTTGACTTATTGTAGAGATGAGGTCTCACCAAGTTGCCCAGGCTGGTCTCGAACCTGTGACTTCAGACAATCCCCTCACCTCAGCCTCCCAAATTGCTGGGATTATAGGCGTGAGCCACTGCACCTGCCTAAGACCTGCCCTCTTTAAGGCACATAGTTTCTGAAAACAAATGATACAACTGATACAACTGCTGGTGCTTTGAATGTGGACAAAGGTCATGCAACATGTCAGATGGCCTCGTAGGCTTGTGTGTCTGTGCACGTGTGTGTCTCTGTTTTATGTTCAGTGAGTTGTGTCTCGTGTGAGAGTGTATGTACCCATAATCCCTGGGTGCCCAGCCACAAGAGGTCTCCCTTGAGTCAAGGCCAAGCACGGGGCTTGGTGCCCTCTACTTCCAGGAGACTAAGTCTGGGTCCTGGAGTAGGCCCTGGAAGGTCCTGAAGTTATCCAGAGTCTCACCAGCTTCCTGTCCTCTTTCTCCTCCACCCCCGCTTCACTGAAGACAAGACATCCCCCTTCCTCCGGGAGGTACAGGTCAGCCTAATCGACTTCAAGAAGTGCAATGACTACTTGGTCTATGACAGTTACCTTACCCCAAGGATGATGTGTGCTGGGGACCTTCGTGGGGGCAGAGACTCCTGCCAGGTAAGGATGCCTATGGGTGGGGCTCAAATCCCAGGACCTTGAGGGTGGGTCAGAGTGAAGTGTTGGGGCTGGTATGGGATTTCCTGCTCAAGGACCACCTCTCCCACCCTGTTGATGTGCTCCTTCTCCCCTGTAGGGCGACAGTGGAGGGCCTCTTGTCTGTGAGCAGAACAACCGCTGGTACCTAACAGGTGTCACCAGTTGGGGCACAGGCTGTGGCCAGAGAAACAAACCCGGTGTGTACACCAAAGTGACAGAAGTCCTCCCCTGGATTTACAGTAAGATGGAGGTGAGAGCCCACCCCAGGACACTGTGCCCAGCAGACTGGGAATTCCCAAAGGTGGGGAGGCTGGAAGAATGCCCAGGCTTTCCATGGGGTGTTGGCAAAGGTCCCCTCAGACCTTACATTCAAGGGTGTTCAGGGTAGGGTTAAAGTCAGGACTGGGGCCAACCCTGGCTGCTTGGGTTTTTTTCCCTCCATGCCTCAGAACAGAGCTCTGAGGGTTGCAGAAAGGTGGGCCTAAGCCCACATTGTGCCAACCCCAATGCCACTCTCCTCTTGCCAGTGATGGCCGAGGTATGAGTTCACACGGGCTACCTTGCACCGCAGGAAGTTAGCGATCTGCCTCAACTCTGCTACCCCAGTTCAACCGCTGCCTTCCCTGGGCCTTCTGACTTTCCCAGGAAAGCAGGGGATGCTCTGTTCACCCTTCCCTTCTTGGCCCGGGTGAGGCCAGAACAGCAGAGAGTTCAGATAGGGCAGGAAGGGTCACTCCAAAAGTACAGTGAAGAAGGGGGCTCTCAGAGCTGCTTCCGTTGTACCCCTTTGCCACCCCGCCCTCCGAGAAGCACTGCCAGGTGACAGGTGAGCTGAACTGTGGGTTCCCTGCTCCCTGCCCAGCCAGTAGTCCCTCACCTTGTTCTCCCGTTCTCATCCTCAGAGTGAAGTGCGCTTCCGGAAATCCTAACCAACTGGCCTGCCTCTCCTCACGGCACTGGCTGCTGTGAAGACTCCGGCCAAAGTGACCAGCCATGTGCTGCATCATATGGGCTAATGGCCACCAGGCACCTTTGTCCTCCTACCTCCACTGTCTACTGCCTCTGTGTGGGCACACATGCACATGTGTTGCTGCTCTCCCAAGATCTTCAGAAACCAGAAGAGCTGTCAACTCTTCTAAAACTCCCAAGCTGGAGATCATCTGGAGATAAGAGTTTGGGTACCATGGATGCCCCTGTGTGGGTGTCCATAGATGGATGGAGGAGGTAGAGCTCAAACAGAGCCCAGAGAAGGGTCTGGAATTCTTGCTTCTCTGACCCTGACTTGGAGACTAGCCCAGTGTGGGCTGACGCCAGCAGCCCAGGTGATACCATTCCTGTCCCAGGACGGATAACAGGCGTGGACTTCCCAGTATCTAGACTGTCTTTCACAGAAACCAGCTCTCATTGGCATTATGACCATGGTGCCCTTGCTCGGACCTCCTGCTGGTGCCATGGACATCATGAGTTGGGCTGTGCTTGGCTAACCAGGCTGACGACTGTGAAGCGGGTTCACTGTACTTGTTTGGTCACAAGCTGTTGGGGTGGGTTTTATTTTATTTTATTTTTATATTCAAGAAATGGAAATAAATGTATTTTTAAAGAGTCTCCAAAAATTCCAGGAGCCTTGTGAGCGAGCATCAATCACCCCAAGAACTACAGGGGACTCATGAGAGTGTCACAGTTTAGAGTCCTACAGATTGTTTTGGCTTCAAGGGACTAGATGAAGGGATGGACAAAGTCTCCAAGTTGACATCTCCCAAGTCAGTGTTAGTGTCTAGAGTCCCTTTGAGATATTCAGGGAAATGAATCTTCATTTGGGCTGGTGAGAAAATCTGACACAAAGAGACCCAAAAATTGTTCCTGCATCCAGGGCCTCCAACCAAGGCACTAGAAAACGAATGCCGCCTCTGTTTCAGCTCCTGGGGCCCAGGAAGGTCCAGGTGGACAGCGTCCCTCATACCCAGGGACTGTCCTGGGGGTTTTGGGGTTCCGTCACAGCTCTTCCCACCTTTCGGTTTCTCAGTTGTTCCCGAAACATAGCACTGACATAAAAATTGCCATGGAGAGAAAGCTCACATTGTCTCCAATCCCTTCAAGAGCCCTTCTGAAGGATTGAAGTTGGCCCTGCTCTGTAGGCCATCTATGTGGCTGACCTCCTCAGCAGCCAAAGGACCCAGCCTTCTCCAGCCTCTTCTCTGGGGTACCCGTTCCTCCGGTCTCCCCCTCATCAGCTTCCTTGAGCCTCTCTGGCCCCTTGTGGTGCTATGCTTCTCAGGGGCGGGGTCCAAGCAGATCAGTCCAGCCCAGGTTAGGCAGGCAGCTGCTCAGGGAAAAGACTACCCAGAAGAGCAGGCTGGCATTAACTGTAGAGGCTGGGCAGGGTCTGATGGACCTGGATACATTGGGGGCCATCAGCAAGGCTTGGAAGAAGGGACCACATTCATGTTTACAGAATCCCCCAGGAGTGACCCTCAGCAAAAAAAGTTGTGTGTCCTGAGGAATTTATCTTTGAATGTTTTACTGGTACTCTAGATAGAAAATTGACTCTGGTCACTCAGGCACCCAAACAGTCTCAGTTTGGGCTCTTAGTTTTGGTTTCTTATCCTTGGGTTCTGCTCACTTAAGTACACACATTTCTTTAATTCTCCAGCTGTATCAGTGCCTATTCTATGCCAAGCACTCATGCAAGGCCCAGGGGATACAAAGAGCATGATGGTGTCCTCAAGGAACTGGGTCATGACCCAATGTGATGGGAGCTGTGATTGAGTGTGGATACTATGCTAGGAACATGAACAAAGCAGCCACCACCCACACCTAGAGATGTCAGAAAAGGCTTTACCGAGGAGGTCAGGTTTCATATGAGTCTTAAAGAGTAGGTGATCCTTCCCAAAGCAGATAGGAGGGAGGTGGTAGGACTCCCCAGGGCCTACCCTACCCTCCGTCCTCTTTCTCTACCTCTGCCTTTGCTAGCTCCACAAGAGGCATGTTTGCAAGGAAGCCCCAAAGCTTATCCCACCATCTCCAAGTTAATTGGTCCCACTGGCCTCTTCTGAAAGATCTGCCCCTTCTTGCTCTGCACTTAACTTTTCCTGTGTTTAACATATTGACCTCGACCATTATGAGCCCACTGCTCCTCCCACCCCACCCAGCACACATCCATGCCTCTAGCCACAAGCACAGAATTCTCTAGGTCTGTTCCCCGTGTCTGACCCCCAGACACCTCAGGCTTACTTGCTTTAGTCTTGCATATCAATGCTAGGGTAAGTCCTTCCTCTGATTCTTTTCTTGCTCCCTTTGCACAAGAAGGTATGGGTGAGGTGGCAGGTGCCATCTTTTGAGTTTGTCATCTACAATGTCGTTGACTTCTGGCCAGAAAGAAAACATGAAGAAAGCTTGTCCACATCTTAAGTGCTCTAGCCCAGAAGTCATTTCCACTCAACATTTTATAGGTGCAAACATGTCACACGGCACTACCTAGATGAACTGGACCTGGGAAAGGCAGTCCTTGGCCAATCCCCAGCAAGAGTAAGCACTCATAGTGGGAATCTGTCTGGGGAAGGAGGGGGCATACCTCATCATCAGTACCGGCATAATGAACATCTGTATACCTAACCCTGAATTGTACCCCACATCTTTAAAATAAAAAAAAATTAAAAGAAAAAAAGAGAGTAAGCACTCATTTCGGAGGACAATCAGTCATCTTTGCTCAACACAGGAAGCTGGCTGCATCCCCAGACACTAGGCCTGGGCAGAGAATTAGGGCTTTAAGCCATGTCTGTTTCTTTCTTCTGAGAAATCAGACCCTTTCTCTCTTCTCTCAAGGGTTTCCTAGGGCATAAATTGATGGACAAGAGCATAGGGATGGGGAGGTGGCAGATACAAGGTCGAGAAAAAAGCAGAATCTAGATAACAAAAGAAAAATACATTCTTTAGGCCCAGGACATCTATAGATGCTAAGTCCACAATCATGAATTGGTGATAATGGAGCATCCCAAACTGGTCCAGATTCTATATAGAGGTGTACATATGTTTCAGGCAAGGGGGGGGGGAAGTTGAGGTGACAATGTCCTATGTCCCTGGATCCTAGGCATCTCCAAACTCTCTGGCTTTGTCAACTCTATTGACAGATGAGTTTCCATGGAATTTCTTTAGGGAAGGACGGGAGAGCCAAGTGGGTATGTGGGGGGTGGGACAGATGGCGGCATTTTGGAGAAGGAGTCACTTACAGCCTAGCAGACATTCCAGCTGCCTCTGGAGTTTGATCAGATTCCCAAAGGCCATTGTTTCCTCTAATTGCTTAGCTGTTGTCCTGATGCAATTGGGTGGACATCGGAACACGCATGTGTAGAGCTCCCTGTAATGACAATGATGAGGAGAATAACAACAGCCAACACTTGCTGAAATGTTTGCTGTGTGCCAGATGCTGAGCTAGACACCTGACGTGTATGATCTCCTGTGAGCACAATAAGCCCATGAAGTGGGCATTGCTATTACCCCTGTTTTACAGATGAGGAAACAAAGGCCAAGAGATGTGAAATAAACCTCCCAGAACTACGCAACTGCTGCGTGGCAGAGCTGGACTTTGAATCCAAGGCGTCTGATTTTAAAACTGCTTTCCGACACTCTATGCCGTGCTGCTTTCCAAAGTGAGGTGGAGTCCTCCCTGCAGTGACATCATAGTGTCTGCCACCTGGCTCTGCGTATCTTTCCAGGAGTGACATGGTGAGACAACTCCCCAGAAAAGGCTGGGCACACCCCTTCGAGTGTCACGTGAACAGAGGTTTCTGGAACCTTGGACAAGTGCATCATGAGTGGGAGGAGGCCCTCCCCCACCCCATCCCCATCCCAGAGTGAATGGTTTCTGGGAGCGCTCCCCCAGCCCCATCCCACGTGCATGGTTTCCATGAGGCCCTCCCTAGCCATGACAAGCTGTCACCCCAGGATGTCTCCATGTCTCCTCGATGTGGGTGGGTGGCTCTGAGAGGCACATACCATTCATTCCCTACCTCCTCTGCACTGTCCCCGGGCTTCCTGCCTCTTGGGGAAGTCGCTCAGCCCAGGAAGTGAGCACCATACTGGTCTTACAATGGGTCCTCCCAAAGAACAGGGAGGACTACGCTCTGGAGATAAGCAGCCATGGACCACTCAGGCAGGAGGTTTTGTGAGATGAGACCTCAGAGAAAGGTGAGGGCATATCCTGCTCCTTCATCCTGCACAGCTCAGCTCCTCCTAACAGGACATGCGATGTGAATATGACAGGATACCCTCTCCGTCCAAGCCCTGCGTCCCAGGAGTGCTTTACTTTTCCTACAAGGAAGGCACTGAACATCTGTTCTGAATAATTCCCCCTAAATACACTGTGTTGCAGTGGAGAGAACACTGCAGTTGGAATCAAAGTACCTGGAGGTACAAATTCCAGCTCTGTCACTTATTTAGCTATGTGATCTTGGGTAAGCCATCCTCTCTGTTTCTTCATCTGTAAATGGGCGTATCTACCCCACATTTGTCATGAGATGAAGTGGGATGATACACGTAAGCATGAAGGACAAAGTGATTCAGATGTTGAATCTGCAGCAGAAAGACCAAATCCCTCACCCCCAGATTCCTTCACCAAACAAAGGAGATAGGAGAGAGAAGTTTGGATAAATCTTTAGGTCCTAGGAAATTTACCGTTTCTCTGCATAAACTTTGCTCCTAGTCTTTGAGCGACGAGCTGAGCTTCTGTGGAGGTGACACTATCACCTAGGGCAGGACATTTCCAGCTGGTGGCTTCTCTAAGTCACGGAGCTCCACTGAGTTGAGTTCGCCCTGCTTTCTCTTGTCACCGATGGGGCCAGGACAGCTGCCTGACCCCGGAAGAATTCTCCTCTGGGAGAAGTTAGTGCCTGGTCCTGGTGGCCTTTGACTGCTCAGCCAATGGAGTCAGACA